ATGGGCATTTTATGCAGTGCTCTGTATTAGTAGGGAAGACAGATTTTCCTTAAATAAACCAACCAATTTAATCGTATTGCATTCCTAAATAACCACAACCTTTCAGCAGCACTCACAAGCTCAACAACACATATTTTGATTCTCTGGCTGGCTGGCTGTGACTCATTTTCCTTTTCAGGGACATTTGGGTGGACTGGAGAAATGCGCCATGAGGAAAGAACTTAAGACTGGGGCTCAGATCTAAGGTGATGTGCTTCCTCATACCAGTGAAGGCCCAGTGCATACCAAAACAGAGTCAATTCCACCTGTCTGAGGGAGGCAGACTTATATTCTTATCAAATTCTGCAGGAGATGAAGCCTAGTGTCACTGTACTGATTCCATTAGGGCACTCTTTAATACGTCCCAGATTTTGCCTCTGGTTTACCAGAAGCAGGTGCTTAATTAATTCTCATAGGTCTACTCCTATGTTTGATGCTACCTGTGAGCTTTAAAGAGATTGCTGAAACAGGCCCAATGAAGGCATTAACCTAATGCAACTTAGATTAAAGTTGTATTGAAACAGACTTCAGGTTTGCTGGAACGTAGCCAGCAGATGAATGGACTATGCAGGCTGTATTACATACACATAAATATTTGGGTTTTGGAAAGCATAGTACCATAAAAAGGTAGGTGAAAAAAAAAAAAGAAAAAAAGATCCAAAGCAAAAGAAACTTCTCTGTGCTGTTTTCAAGCTCTTAACTATCGTATTAGCTCAGATGAGAGTTTACATTCACATTATTTACTAACAGGTGGCATTTATTAGTATCTTACAACGCCACAGTGGGCAGAAACCAGGAAAGCACTCATTCCTCTTTGGAAGAGCTTTTTTTCTATCTTTTTGTTGTTGTTTTTGTTGCTGTAACTAATTTATACATTTATTTTTACAAAGTAAGCCCAGTTAGTGAAAATTATTTTATGCTCCCTTGCTACTATACCAACAAAATGAAATCCAAGTTCCTGCATGATGTGACATGTAAACCATTTGTGCTGAAGTGACTGCCAGGAAATGGATGGAAAGTTTTTATCCTGAAGAAACACTCAAATAAAATGCTAGCGTAATCTAAAATTATTCACTGACAGTAACTGCGGGATTTTTTGTGTTTTCTCTTTTTAATTGTCAATTTAGCTGAGCTTAGTATTCAACAGTTTCGGGCATCAGCAGAGAAAGTGATGTGATTCCCTTCTGATGTTCAGTAAATCTGAAAACAAGTTGTTGTTTCTTTAAAAGGAAGACATAAAGCAATTTTGTTTGCATTTCATGGGAAAAAAAACATCAGTATTGCTGCCATCTAAGGTAAAGCACACATGTTTTCAAAGAAAGTATTATGAACGTGTTACTAACATTTTGCCAGTTTCACTCAGGTTCTTTAAGGCACATCACGATTTCAAGGCTGGACATCTTCAGCTCCACCTAGATGCTGTGATCATGACTGCGTGCACTTATCTCCGCATTCTGCTGCGCCTCAAGTCAGCTTCATTTCCTTTCTTTAAGGCAGTTAGAAGTCAACACAGAATAGAGAAATGGTTTATTTCTCTTTCATGATGTAACTTCAAATTTTCAAGACAGCCACTTGTTACTTTGTTGAGAGAAAGTTAAAATCAAGCGTCCATTTTTTGGGACCAGTAAAAAAAGTGATAGTTCATTAACTTTTGCTATCAAACTCTAACATTTCAGTCACATCAATCCACTTCTTCTTTCCTGTGAAGCTTCTCTGTTATCACAAAGCCTATTCAAAATTTCCCCAAGGGCCAAGACCAGTACTTGAAAAGGAGCCTAACTTTGGATGAAACCGAAAGCGTGCTCTATTATCCACCCTCTGAGCCTCCCCCCACCCCGACCTCATTCTTTCTCTAGAAGCTGTTATTTCAGACCTGTATCAGTTCTCAGTCTGACCACAGCTGGGAGCAGTGATCTCCACCCTGCCCCCCCAAGCATGTGTAACATTAGTTTGAATCTTTTATTCATTCACTGAAGGAAGTATCAAGAGGTCTCTTTAAATGAGAGCAGCACGACCAGATGACTGGTCTGCCAGAAGGATTCTGCAGTATTGTAGAAATAACTGGCTGTCAGAGGGAGACTGCTTTGAAGTTACCACTTGCAGCACCCAGAGTACCAGGGTTGGATCAGTTTTTACTGGATTACTTTCATGGCAAGCTCTTTTTGTCTCATCTGAAGAGTTTCTTTGTGAGCAAAGAATGAGGATGCATCTTGGGAATGATCTGATACTTCAAAAGATGTTTCTTGTAGTTTATCTTGCAGTAAGCTTCTCTTGTGAAGGAAATGCTGCAGAACCCTTCTATTGATCACAGTGATAGCACATGCAATGTGCCTCTTCTCATTGGGCTGTCTGCACCATCGTACTTCAATAAAACTCCAAAGAAAATCCGTGCAAGCTAGGAGTTTTTATTAATTGACATATGTTTAGATATGTGCTCTCTTTTACAAGGCAACATTTTTCCTGCAAACACTTCAAAACAAATCTGATCCTGCTGAAGTATACCCACTGTCTGGCAAGGAGCTCCAATTTGGATTTCATTTGGGAAACAATAAAGTCAAGAATATCTTTTTCTTTATGTTTCAAAAACAGAAGACTTTTTATTATTATTATTAAAAAAAATAAAAATCTGTATTGCATTTTAATGGAGGAAAAAGGAAAGAAAGCAAGCAAGAAAAAAAAAAAAAGCATCAGCACACCAAAGCAGCTAGCCAAAGATAAAAGTTGCATTCAGAAAAGGAAAACTCATGGCCTAACTGGGTCAGCTACTACACATTTAGTAAGTTTCTAACCACTACTTGTTCTGTAAGAGCAATGAAGACTGACATTTCAAACCACACTACATTATCACGTTGCAAGTAGGGGTCCCCTTTGGTTACTACGCACATATACAACAGTTGGTTTTGAAGGTGTTAAACACTAGGCATTCAAAAATAATACATTTTTAACTTAAAAAGACATTATTTTTCTTAGGCCTGCTGTCAACATGAAAATTGTATTGGCACTCTGATTTTGCTCATAGTTTTTATTTTTAAATAAGAAAATAATAGTAGAGTAAGTTCTAAGTGTGAAAGCCATTATCCAGGCCTACATCCATACACTTTATTTGGCCTTGGTGGCTGAACAATTTTAATACTCTCTAGCATAGCTGCAATTACAACTGCATGATTGTGGTAACACAGTGCTAACTTGCATGTGGACGACCTCAGCCTGAAGAACTCTTGGTCGCAGCAGCGCTAAGGGTGCTAGTGAATGGGTTTTGAAACACCATTTCTAGCTCCCAAGTGTTAGGTACTTGAATATATGTGCATCTTTCACAGAGAAGTTCTAGCAATGTTCTCATCCAATCTGGCCTTAGTCTGGTTTTGCCTTAGTAAATATATCAGTATGTATCAGCACTGTATTTCTGGGTCTTTTGACACACCTTTGACCCTACGCAGGCTACATGATCATAGACAAATGTCTCCACAGTTTTGTAGTTGCCGTTTCCTCATCTTATGCAGACCTATTCCAAAACACCTTGCTGGCAGCCTTAGAGAACTCCAAAGTTTTAGATTAAAAAATTTTATGGATCAATAGAAATAATCATTGAAGCTGTTACTGCTTCTGACTGACTACCAGGAAATGAAAAATTACAGCAATTCAGGAACAACTCTTCTCTCCTTTTCCTCAAAGGTCTGTTTTGAGTTACAACATAATCAATCTTCACTGACCTCAGCTGAGAGATTCTTTCAGCTTTGGATTAGGCTACATCCTACAGGCAATGAAAAAACCCAACCCTAAAACACACGTTTACATATGCTTTGTGTGAAGAGAATACTTTCCTATGTTTAGCAAGATGTTGATACTGTTTTCTGTTGCTTCCTTCCTTTGGTCGTGCTGAAGCCAGAACCCAGGATGCCATTGTTAGTTCACAGACCAGTGATGAGACTCTTACAGTAACTAATAATAACAACGGATTGCTTTTTACCAATGTGAGCCAGGCTAATTTCTATGGTACAATGTAAAATGCAAAGTGCACTCCTTTCAGTTTCCTTTCTCAGCAGTACTTCTTTTCCTGTCTTTAGCATAAGTGATACTGCCATGGCAGTTTTGATACTCAGAACAGAAAACTGAAAGAAAAATAATAATGACCAAGTAACAAAACCAAATGACATCCAACACGCGTGTGGCATCGTTACTCTTCAATACACCTCAGATGTACTGTGCCAAGCTAACAGCAGCTGGTTCCGGAGGCAGGGCCAGTAAGTGTGGAAATGGTGTCAAAAAGTAAGGAGCTGGCAGAGCTTTCCTACCAGCTAATGCAGTAGAGGGCCAGACCTTCTGGGACTGAGCTCTGGTCTGAGCCAAGGACAACCTGGAGAGCTCCTGGGAGAGAGGCAACGGTGTCAGGTGGCCTAGAGATACTGGAGGTGCTCTTTAACAGCTGGCTTGGGGAATAGCTGTGATTTTGGCTGCCAGGTCCAGTTGAGCTGTCTCCAGTCACAGTTCTATTTGGAACCAATTGCTGACATATGGGACCAAGCACTGAATCCATAATCACAGAGATGGAAAATCAGAGGCATGACAGTGTGGCATTTTCAAAAGTATCTGTATATTTTTTTCAGGCAAGACTACCTGAGCATCAGCAAATAAAATAGCTAACTTTTCACCCTCTGTTTTTAATGTGCAAAACCAGCCAACATCACAACAGAAGCAAGACCCAGAGAAGTGGGGGTTTCAGAAAACTAGTGCATACCTATCCTTCAGTAATCAGTCATGATTTAATTTAGAACCAGTAATCAGTAATCGATTACTTTTACAAAGTAACCACAACAACGTCAGTCCAGGTTGGAAAGCAATAGTTTTTACAGACTCAAGCAACTTAGAAGAGATGGTTTTAGAAGCAGAGTTATAATACAGGACCACAGGGACTAAGGCATACTGCTGCATTAAAAGAAAAACAAAAGCCTCCAGAAACTTACCACTGAGGTAAGAGCCATCTGAAAACTGTAGATTCGTGCAAGGCCAAAGTCAGCTAACTTTATCTGCCCGCTGCTGGTTACAAGGATATTTTGGGGTTTCAGGTCCCGATGCACCACACGATGTGAATGCAGAAAATCCAGTCCCCGAAACAGCTGAAGCATCATATCCTAAATATAAGTAAGAAATCAATATGCAATTATCAAGACAAGGCAAACAAGTAAACTCCCTGCCATAATCTGCAAAACTAATTTAAGTAAGTATTGACCTGAATATGTACACAGAAGATAAAACCACCTATTAATATAAAACACACAGGATGTTGCTAGAACCAGTTGACTTGAACAGGTGTACTTATCGAGTTAATGTATTGTTTCTAGTTGAATTAGTTGAGGTTCATTGATAAAAGTATAAAGGCTGGTCAACACACTTAAATAGCAAAAGCATGTCTGTAAAACCCAGGACAACTTTGAAAGAATGCCGTCCTAGTAAGAAAAATACATTGCAGCTTACGGTTTTTGCATCTGACAAATGTCTGCTTTGTCCTGCCCCAGTGAAGTGAAATCTTATCATTCACTTCAATAGGCACAGGATCTGTTTCAAACCGAAAAGCTAATTAAATGACAGTTTTGTCAGAATTTAATGTTACAAAGGGGAAAAAGTTCACTTGATAAAACCTGTTCTATAGAATATACTGAAAAGGACAGAAATTACCTTTGGATCAAAGTTTAGCACTAAATCAGTGTAATAATCATAAGTAACCATTCTCATTTGGCTTTCTATTGTGTTACAGTGATGCAATTTTTTATTACATTTCCACAGCTGAAGGAACTATTTAATCTGTACTCATGATTTCAAATTAATCTTAGTAATGGGAAAGGAATGAACCAACAGACTCAAAGCTAGAAATCCCCAGAATTCCAAATTAGAAGGATACTGTCAACTTGAAAATTGTATTTGCAAACCAGACAGTTACAAGGGGATGTTGCAAGAACTAACAAATCAAAAGGGATATAGAAAATGGTTATTTTCCTTGTGCACTTGACTTGAGTTTGTAAAACTCAGTCCTGTGTTTACTGGTGACATATGTGCTTTCCATAAGCCATGCAGTAGGCTGTCCGCCAATCCTGTTATTAGCAGTCAAAATGATCTTGAAGAGGTGGATGGCATGAAACATGAGAAAAGGGAAGAAAGGTGAACTGAAGTCAGCACTTTTGTTCTTTCTATGGACTCCTCTAATGACCATATCACAGGAACAGAAAAAACCTTGACATTTTTTCAAAAAAATACTCAAAGCACACTATTAAAAGGAATGCTATCTGCAAATGGATTTAAACAGAACTCAGAAGGCTCAACTTCCTAATATTTCTTTAGCTGGATTTATTTTTAAGATACACTATGACATTGCTATATAATTTAATACAAAATTATTACTTTCATGTAATGTCTCCTGATCATCTCTACAGAAAGTGTTATAAAATGGATAAATATTAAAGCTAAAAGCTCTTATCTGACCTCTGATAAAACATAACTCTTTCAGACAAACATTATAACAGTGGACTGTTGATAAAGAGATGAGTTTTGATTTGAAGATCCAGATGATGGAGATACCACTATGAAACTATGGAAGCTGTAAAAACATTTAATTAATTATAATCACCTCTGAAGGATGGTGGTAAACTGAGCTCTACATTTCCTGCTGTCTGATGCCTTTAGCTCCCTTGGCTTCCCCAGATAAAACAGATCTGATCATTTTGATAACTAGCATAATAGCGTTTGCTTCTCTAAAACAAATACACAAAAGATATTGAATCCTCTCATGTTCATGATTTCCCTTTGCAATTCAGAAATATGTGGAAGAGCTAGGACTAGTTAGAGCTAGGACACAAGTTTTAGGCATCAGTAGAGTTAATACATGTTATATTGGGTCATACTGTTCTATTTTAATTTTAATTTTAATTTTAATTAAATCCCACAGTCTTTGGATCAGTCTTGAAGAGGTACCGAACATGCTAAGGATATTTAAGCATGTGGTTATCTTAAGTATGTACATAATGAATTTGGGTCTAATTTTTTTATTCTAGGTAGACATATTAACAGAAAAAAAAAAAAAAAAGAACTTAAGGATTAGTCATTAGACCCTGGCAAGTCCCTTTTTTTGTGACATTTCTTCATATTATTCATTTGTCAAGAATGTAAACTCATTCCTGCAGTTAACAAACATATCAAGATTTTTTTTTTCCTGCGACTCATGCTGTTTTTGTTTCATATTTCCTCCTCAAACTCAGTGGATGCAGTTCTGCTCTGCTAGTTGCAAGTTGCAAGCAATGTCTTCAGTTTCTAAATTCAGAGTCTTCATCCAGGCATGTGGAAAAAAAAAAGAAAATATTTGAAAAAGGAAACTCATATCTCTTTCTCTTCTCCCACAGGACTCAAAAGATGAATATAATTTATTGAAGCTCTGTTTACACACACCAAAGGGGATGTGCAGCAGAAAAGTGGATCAGGAAAGTTGAAATTAAGAAGGCATAAAAATGAAGAATGAAAACTGGGGAAAAAAATGCTATATTTCCTCTTCTGCGAAATTCAGATTTAGTTCATATAAGCTATTATTCATTCTGGATAGTTGATTATGCTCTTTTGTTACTCAATATTGTTACTCAATATTATACATAGGAACAAATTTCATTTCACAACTATCATAGAGGAACAGCCCAAAGATTCACATGTGCAAAGAAGGGCATTTTGGTGTAAAAAGACCATTTGCTATTTGCGATTCATTATTCTCCTGTTATTAAATTCTCAGCTGTCTAAGAGCGGAAAAACAAATCACACAAGAAGGTCTAATTATTATGTGCTTTAAAAGCATAATATCAAATTGTGCAGCTCAGAATTTGATATTTGTTTGCATAAATTATTTATTAAAAAGAGTATTAACAAAGTATGAACAAAAGGGAAAAACTTTTTTATCCATAATGAATCATTATCTTTGTGCTGTCCTAAAGCTTTGTCTAGAATCTGTTTAGGCCTCAGGTTTGGAAATTACTTCATACTCTTAGTAAACTACCTGCAAGAAATATCTAACTCAGTCTTGGCTATGTGTTTTTTTTTTGATACTGTAACTACACACACATTCACAATATGCTGACCTTTGCTAGCCTATTGGATAATGGCTGTAAACATGCACAGGACATATCACTACCTAAATAAATCAGAGTAATTCCACTTTGGAAACACATCCATTTTTTATTGGTGATATCCAGCATTATCCCAATTACCAAAATCTAGAAACAACGAGAAAGTCTTCACATGAATCAAGGACTAGTGTGTTGAATGTCTTCTGTTGAATGTCTGAAAAACTTTCTCTGGTACCTAGGGATACCATACTTTGGAATTGCAGTTCAAATCATATGTCAAATATTAATTGAAAAATTATAATTCTACTTGACAAACAAGAAGATTCATTCTTTAGCAGATCTGAGGACCAAGCTCTAATGAGTCATGCTCTAACTTCTGTCAGATATTCTTTGGATAATGTACATTTGCAAATAGACAAAGAACAGTTTCTGTTATTTCAGATTAGAGACTTCTACCATAATTAGAATATCACAAACCCTCCAATGGCTGTTGCCCGAGTTGAAGATACATACATTATTCCACTGTGATTGCTTTCAGATAATCACGGCCTTAAAATGTTTTTTCCCATTTCAGGCTGCATTTTCAACACAGTCTATGAACAAACCTAAAACATTTATCTGTAACTCAGTTGAAAACTGAGCTATTTTGGGATGCAATGAACAAATACACTTTACTTAAAGGAAAAATGTACTTCAGTTTTGTAAAAACTTCATAGTGGAAACAGAAGCAAAATTTGTAATGGAAATACAGTGTCTTTTGCATGTTCCACCACACATGACATTGGTGATGGCATTCCTTGGTCTGATATGTATTGAATATTACGACTAAATTACGATGAATTTTGCAAGTAGTGCCATATTATATCATGTCTCAATAACACAGAGAAATATCTGTATTTATGGTCACAGTCAGCTCCTGGTGCTAGTGAGGGTGGGGACAGGCATGGGTTAGGCTGAGCAGTTAGTTGCTGCTGCTTCTTCTGCCAGAGGTGGGCTTCACAGCTTTCCTCTCCTGACTCATGGGCTGGAGGAGCAGGAAGGCTTGATTTCCTACAGATTTTGTCCCCTCCTTGTTTTCTCTTGATCTTATGCTGTCTGCGTCTTCTGATCCATAAGTCCCTTCCAACCCACTGGTTTCCAAAACACCACTCTGAAAAGAATCACACCACCTTGACGTCCAGGTAACGACATGTGCCACTTGCCCGTGTTAACTTGTTGTCCAAGGCCAGACTGAGTCTCCAGGTAACTCACACAACAAAATAATTTTTATCTCTGTTCATTATTAGGCCAAATATACAACAGAGAGTAGTAAGGAAACTCTCACAGACAAACTATAACACACAACCTGCAGCACCCAAAATGCTGTTTGGCCTACAGCACATAGTGAAAGGTACAGAGGCAACTATGGATCTGGAGCACTGGTGTGGGGTAAAAAGGAAAATAAACCCCTAAGTCTGGAGCAGACTGTGTCCTTTGGAAAACTGGCTTTTAGAAGCTGTTAGCCTTTTTGCTGGGTTGGATCTTCATCACTTTTTGGGTTTGCAGCTTTTTTAAGCTGGGAAGGTTTAACTTGCTACATATTAACTCTCTTTGTGGTTCCTTGCTGAAAAAAGGCTCTAACACGTAAGAATTTACAGCTGACAGCTCTCAGCTTAAGTACCTTTTGTTTTAAATTGCATGAGATGCCCTTGCTCTGTCTGTCTAAACCAAAAGAAGATGATGGCATGGCTGTTGACCAAATAATTCAAGTACCTACTCAAAGGAAACTAAAAGTGTGTAATTGTTTTGGGTGCAAGTGACAAAGTAGCAGGGGGTGGCCTCTGTGAGGAGAGGCCAGGGGCTGCCTCATGCTGCACACAGCCAGGTCCAGTGGCCTCCCCCCAGGGCTTTGCTGAGACTCTCAGCCACGCTGGGGGTGTCTCTGGGAAAATGTATTTAAAACAGGGCAGAAAGGTCTGGGGGGAGAGAGGAGGAGGGAACAAAAGCGTGAAGAACAACAGAGGGAACACCAAGGTGAGAGAAGAGGAGAAGAT